ACATCTCCCAGATACTAGTCTTCAAAATATTATACATTGAAAATAAAAGGCCTGAAAATCCATAAGATGGAGTAAAAAACATACTACTTATTGCTATCAACTAAATAACTTTTATGAGAAACAATATGAAGAAAATTAACATTATAAAACTATATTTTCAATAATCTATTGAAATACTTAAGATAGTTGTAAAAGGATTTTTTCTTAACTTTAAACTTTCAAAAGTGCACTTGAAAATAAAATTTCACAGAATACATTTGTGTTAGAGTTTTCTTGGACCTATGCTACACTAAACAAAACATTGTATTTTAAAATGTTCTAATCAATTCAAAGCAATGTAATTGGAAGCCTTGTCTATATAATTAAAATTTGAATTTCTAGAATAATTTATGAGAATATTTTTGCACGTAAGTTCAATGTACTAATTTAAAGAAATAAATTATAGCCTAAAGAATTTTCTGAACCTTCTTTAAAGGACACAAGATTAACTTAAAATTAACTAACTGTATCTACACAAATAATTTTCTAAACCAATCTCAGGAGACTTGAACTGTTTTCTCATAAGTATGTGAATGTTCTTCCTGTAACTTACTAATACTGCCAAGCCACTTGTACTATTTTCTTTTCTTTTCTTTTCTTTTTTTTTTGGTGGGGGGTCCAGTCGTGGGACCTAAACTCTGGGCCTGGGTGCTGTCCCTCAGCTCTTCAGCTCAAGGCTAGCGCTCTCCCACTTGAGCCACAGTGCCACTTCCGGCTTTTTGCTTTTTGCTTATGTGGTGCTGAGGAATCGAACCCAGGGCTTCAGGCATGCAAGGCAATCGCTCTACCACTGAGCCACCTTCCCAGCCCCTCTTTCTTTTATTTGTGTGCCAGTCATGAGGCTTAAACTCAGGGCCTGGGCACTGTCCCTGAAGTTCTTTTGCTCAAGGCTAGCACTCTACCACTTGAACCACAGCACTACTTATGGCTTTTTCAGTTTATATAGTACTGAGGAATCAAACCCAGGGCTTCATGCACGATAGGCAAGCACTCTACCACTAAACCACATCCCCAGCTAGGTACGCTGTACTGCATGCCATACAGTTTTCTTCTTATGAATAGATTCTATCCCAATGTCAGTTCCAATCATTATAGTTACAACTTTATGACCATATAATTGCAAAGTAATGTGTATTTCAGGAATACAAGCATTGTGTAATCAGAGACTGAAAATTACTCTAAAGGTTTGAGAACTATTATCCAAAATGGATATTATCTGCACCTAAAATAATTTAGCCTTGCTCTGAATGTTATCATTTTCCCTGTTGCTCTTATTCTGAGTGCCTTATGAGCTTTCTTTCTTTTTCTTTCTTTTTCTTTCTTTCTTTCTTTCTTTCTTTCTTTCTTTCTTTCTTTCTTTCTTTCTTTCTTTCTTTCTTTCTTTCTTTCTTTGCTTTAATCTGTTTTGTTGCAAATTCTATTCATGTCTTTATTCCTTTCCTTCACAATATACCTGGTAAAATAAATGTTGCTCAGTACAGATTCTTTAATTGAACCAAATTCTCTCAACAACAACTAGCAGTGTCAAATGAAAACTCAGCTATGATCTCTGATGAATGAAAAAAAAAGTAATTGAATTATATGTGCTTCTATACTCTACATGGTATAAATGGTTAGTTTATGTGAATACTTAGAAGAGAAACTGAGCTAACTTGGGTTCTTCAAAATCTTAGAAAGGAATTCTTCAAATATTAATAAATAGAATACTTTATTCAATATATTATTGTATAACTTTAGGAGTCTCTTTTCTAAGTCAAATTCCATTCTATATTTACAAAGAACTTGTTTTTCACATTTAATCTCCATGGATGTGTAAATATTGTACTGAGTATTATTTTCAGTGACTTAGATGGACTGTATTTTATCTGCATCCTGGTCATCTGTTATGATTATCTGCTACTGCCATCAGAGAAGTTTGTGTGGAAAGTAAATTGTCAGAATTTTAATAATATATTTAACAATGCTAAATGCAAAATATGATAAGTATAACGAATACACTAAATTAGCTGTGCCTACATTTACTATTGACACCATCCAAAGTAAATACTGGCAAAAATGTTCATCCAGTTGTTTGAAACCATGCAAATTTGAAACACTAACTTTAAAAATAATGTAATTATTGTGGTATAATTGATCCTGTATTTTAATGCATAATGCATAAGTTTATTTTTCACAAAATACTTAATGCAAAGAAATACTATAAATGTGTACTTATATCTTAGTTGTAGGTAAGCTCTATTTTGGATAGAGCTGTAGTTTAAAAATAGTCCCTGTGGTGACTCGGAGCTTTAACTTCATCATTGGGGTATAAAGCTAAAAATGTTTTGTACTCTTATGAGTTGTCAAACTATCAGGTATAAAAATTCTTTGAACTTGAAATATATTTTATAAATCTATGACATAGCCCTAATAACTGTAAATTATTGCATTTACAAGATTTGTAAAATGTACTACCACAAAATAATAGTTACGAGATATAATTATCCCAGAAATACCATAAACCAAAAAAAGTTAAAGGTTTACCTAAAATACATGTTATTGAAACTCAAGAATAGACATATCATGTAAATATTAGTCTTAAAATTTGAGATTATGTATATTTTAAAACTTTAAATATCATAAGACATCTTTTAAGAAAAAAATGTAAAACTGGGGAACCCTTTTTATTTACAAATCACCTGGACATGGTAAATAAGTTAGTCTTTTCTAATTGAAATCAGGTTTTGCTGTTGCACATGTATTGACACAAATGATGGTTAGGAATAGATGTTGGACACTTTCAACAATTTGTCATTCATGCTCATGTATGATTTGTAAAACAGACAAGAGAGAAAAGAGAAAACTCTAAGTATAAAATATAATTTTATAACTACATTTTACAGAATAATTCCAAGAGATACAGTTGTTTGTTTTATTATTTTGAAAATATTACTTATTTAAACAACTCAAAGAAACTGAAAAGCCTGATATAATTTCAACATTGGAAAGGATACATTTTTGAAAAATATGTAGAAGAAAAATGCCATCTGTCTGCCATTGGTACTACTGTACTGTTGAACACATATCATAGGAGGTATGGATCATTGCACACAATCACACACTTAGGATTTGATAGAGCTAAACCAGTTGTTCAAGGCCACTAAAACACTGAAAGAGGAGCATGACTGTTAACAGTGGAGAGGAAAAAGAACAAAAGTCCTTCTAACTCAAAGTGACTTCACTACAGAAATGCTACAACTACTTAAGAATTTTTCAATAATTCATGACACAAGACACCTACTTCTAAGTTTTTCTATCATCTCTGATACATGAGTTCAGGGATATTATGGTGTCTATCTGGAGCCTACACTGCAAGGTCATATTATTGTTATGCTTCAAGATGTCCTCCTTCAAGACCCTAAACGTGACATGGAGTAACTGAATTTCATCATAAAAGATAGGTAGCATCACATTGGAATTTATTTAAATTATTTTATTTATTTAAATACCACATAGAGTATTTTAAATGATGAGGATGAGTATTGCTGAAACAATAAAATTTAACTTTAGGTGGTAATCTCTAGATTAGGAAATTTCCTTTCTACAAACTTAAAATGATTCTTGGGCTCTAGAAAATATCTAATTTTTTTTGGTGTCTAATGACTATTACCTTCAGAATACATTTGTTTCCGTGATTTGTAAGATTTGAAGGAGTCAACACCTCAAGAAATAGGAAGTGAAGTCGTCACAAATGTTTTACTTCAGTACAGTAGTTGTATCAGGATTTTATAATTATAATAGAAAATATGTGAATTCTAAAGCATTCAAATGAGGTCTGTAGAACTAGTCTACGAGGTGAGAACATCATCCAAAAATACTTGTTTCACACACAGTCATGGAAATAGCTATTCCAAATTCCCTGTAGAGCAGAGGTATTAATGTCGAAGGAACCTTTTGTGTATTAACATGAGCAAAGGAATTTGTATCTAAGGGGATGGCACAACTGGCTTAAAAGGTCGTTAAATACTTATAGACCCATTGAGGTATGGTTGCTTTATGGAGGATTAGAGTAGGACAGACATGGACCAATACACAGAAAGGATTTTAAACTCTGCACCAGCCAAAAGTAGACAAACAAGATGAAAAAATACTTTCTCAGTACTGATAATTACAAGTTTACGTAATTCATTTACACAATAGGAAATGTGACCAAATGGATGACAGAATCTATATGCAAGGGTGCTATTTGCTGAGGAGGATTATAGGAGTGATTAGTATACATATAAATTTTTGTTTTAATTCATCTTCATGTAGAACAGGTCCCTGTTCAAGAAGTAGATGAAAAGCCATTCAAAAAATTTAGATAGGAAAGGAAGGATAATGTTGAGACAAATTCTTTTAAGCCTTTCCAAGTGTCCATACATTTATAACAAAAAGAGATCATTTTTCTTTGATCCGAAGAGATTATTTGCACATGTGCAGTGTACAACATACTATATACATGTGGAACTTCCTTATGTACATATACATATGCATACACTATCTATATGCCTTTCTAATGTACACACAGCTTTAACTCAAAGAAAATGAGTCAGCAACACAGTCATCACAGTCAGACAATCCAAGTGCTGAAATAAATGGCATTGATCACTTGAAGAGCTACTTTCTCTCTCCTATTGTCCATGATTGAGGATAGAATTCCCTTTTAAGGTTTCACTTTTCATTGCAACACCGATTGTCATAGATCATCTTTGTGCTTTTGCATAATGCCCACCCTGGATGTAACATATATTCACATACAACATTGGACATTTTAGATAAGCATGCTGGAACACGGGCAGGACCATACAGCCATGCACAGAATATTCTGATTATGTTACTTTTTTTCCAAATGGACCTCAACATCAACATGCACCACTACCATATTTGGTCCTGTACAGCAGGAAATGTACAGTTGAAGGAACCATGACAAGGTTCAGTCACAGGAATTTCTTTACAAAAAACCCAGTAGAGAAACAAAACAGTGAATGAAACAAACAGAAATACCCCCAAAATAAAAATAAAATAAAATAAATCCTCCCACATGTTAACACAGAAAATTGGGCCATTTCCCTCATTCCACACAAAGCAGGTCCTCTCACAAAATTTCAGATTAACTTTATGAGGCATATTAGTGTCTCATAGCTTTTCCCAGCCATTGGAAAAGCTCATCTTGATAAAGCATTTTCCAGCGCACATTGGCTTCCACAGTCTCCACAGCTCGTGAGAAAGAAGCAGCCGCCACCCCATCATAGCTCTTCATGAAGTTCTTCAGCTGGAAATAGAATTCAAAATGGTAAATCTGCATGTCTTAAAATGAACTCGTGCACAGCATATAGGAACAAGAATCTATTTTAAACAAAGTGCCACAATTGCAACCAAGGGAAAACCAGTGCTTGGTAAGAAATGCACTCATTACCTTGACCATGTAATTGTAACCCCTCTGTACGGTATTTTCATAATAAATAAAAAAATAAAATGTAAACTGAAATAAAATAAAGGAAGCCATCAACTTTACTTGTTTTTAGTTAACGTTAAAAAATCTCTTATTTGGGAGCTCATACAGAAATAACTAGCATCTGTGATGGGTGCAGCCAGATAATGGTTGCCAAGGTTATGTTTCAGGGACTTGAAGGTAATTTTTATTGAAACTATTAACTATTTATTTGGGCCTGAGTAAGAGTCCCATGGGTGAACTTCTGACAGCAGAGAAGTAAGAACTCCTCTCTCAGATCATGCCAGTACCGACATCCTGTGATGACTATGAAGGCTGATCACACAGCGCACACCACTCACGGCTTCATTCACAGTCACCTTCTCCTATCTTAAATCATTTGCCTTCTTTATATAATAAATACCCCTGAAATCTATCCTCAGAGAGGCTGAGTTGAGAGTTCTTCTCCCATCTCTTCACGCTTAATCACCTTATGAGTAAAGTCTTTCTCCTTTATTCATCATTTCACAGATTGACATGCTGCTCAATGGGCAAAATCACAATGGAAAGCATACCTGCTATTGTGGAGCAAGTTTGATAATGACATAAAATAAACAGGTTGAATCAAGCGAGTGTGGTATGAATGATTGCTAAATGCCAAAGAAAAAGAGTGGACATTGAAATTTAAGTGATTCCACATCCAACTTCTTGCCTCATTAATAGATATTAAAAGAGATCTATTTCATTTCTTCAATTAGTAGAGTATTGTAGAAAAGACTAATTCTACTTGCAAGGCACATCCAATGTATAAAATTCCTTGCAAACTGAATATAAGGATTAAAGTTTATCTTTATTTGTAGACAGAAAATGGTTCTCTGTCTTTAACAAATGAGCTTGACACTTATCTGGAGGTCAAAGGATTACCACACCTATTAGGTGGTAGGAAACCTAGACTAATGACCACTGCAATCACCCTTGTCACTATATTCATGGAAAAATGAAAGAGAAATATAGTCTTGTTGAGCTAGGAAATTTGAACATGTAAGTTGGAAATTTTAAGTATACTTTTATAACTTTTCCTGATAGGAGATGTTAGAGAGTTCCCATGTTCTGGAAATAATAGGGAATTTACCTCAAGATTAAATCCTGGCCATTTTTCTTCTTGTTTAATATGTTGTAAACTGGCAACCAACCAACAATTGCAATGCTAATAGACAAATGTGAAAAATCAACTTGCAACACAGAAAAGCTATGTGGTGTAATTAGTGTGGAGTGTGATTCATCACTGGGTGGCATCTCATGGAAGAAAGCCAGGAAGGAAACGTGGTACGATCAAGACAAGCTTGGGAGAATGGGGTGGAGGGTGTTTAACATGAAATTATTTTTATCTTTCCAAATTAGTTTGGAATGTATAAATAGCATGGTTTGGGACAATATTACTTTAATGACAAGCTACTGGTAGGCTTTCTTAGTTTGTCGCCTACTTTCCTACAAGTCTTTTGTTGGCTTTAGCAAAGGATTTTCCTATCTCCAGGCTTTATCCTTGAAAAGACTCAAAATCACTGTACTTTTTTATAATAAATTTGGAAGATATCCACTGTACAACAACAGAATATTGATGGCCACAGAAAGGCGCACGCACACACACACACAGAGCTAATCAAATGCCAGAAATCAGATCTTCGTTTGAAACTTTGTCTGATTAACACAATAATACATTTGTATTAACTGCTTTGATTTCAGATTTTAATCCATAGCCATAAATCAACAGATTTCATCCTGTTTTGAACATTTTCCCCTCTTGGCATTTACTGAACATGCCAGAAAGTAATCTAACCCTCTATTGGTAGCTTGAACTCCATGATGCATATACTCTTATCATCTTTATGAAACTAGCTTGAACATATCAAGCAAAGCCTTTAACTTTTCTTTCAAGGTAAACTGTGGGTCTGAATATAAAATTATTTTTACATGAGGATGGTACATTAGATTATCTTGCCAGAGCATACTCATAATACAATGTAACTACTGGGTTTCTAGAGATTCATTTCTTAAATTACTATTTAAGTGCACTAAATATCTCCCTTGTGGGCTCAGAAAGCCTGGGCTGAATCAGGTACCGCTGATTCATTACCGTGCATCCTAACCATGTTCCACAATTGCTCTACACTGATTTTAGAAACTGTATTTCTCCCAGCTTTGAACACAAACATGATCTGAGGGAGTGTAGCTCTCTCACCAATCCTGGTGTATGACTTCACTACCTTACAGAACCCTGTCTACTTCTGAGATCTTGGACAGAAGAAAGAATATGCAATACTCTTGTCTTATTTCTTCAGCTCTATGCTAGGTTTTCTGCTGCTACTAGTTATCTTTTTATTGTGTTTCCAAGTTAACCACACCATGGTACACTTTATAAAATTTCAACTTCAGACGCTTTTACGAAATAACACTTAGGAAAATGTCAGTATTGTTGGTAACCTCTAATTTTCTTCACATAAACCTTCTAGACAATTTTGTAAATTTATCTACTGAAAAGAGTCAGCATTTTTTAAAAGAGGCTCTTCTTTCAGAGTACTCAAACTTCATTATAAAATAGTATCTTAGAGAAAATTGTAAAAACATAGTATAATGTTAATAACTATAGAACAAATATAATTAATTACTGTCTTGCTCTGAGGTCCATGTCTTCCAAAACTGATTTACACCTGATAAGAAAAATGTCACAGGAAAGCAAACAGGATAGCTGGGATGCAGGAAGGAGAAACAGATGAGAGGTTTGTTTAGTGAACATTAGAGTGGGAAAATGGCATGTGCCTCTGAAGTTCCTTGAGGTTGTGCCTCCATTAGCTTAAAATTATGGAAATGATGGATTCCACCCATTGAGAAGGGGTGTTGTGTAAATGGCTACAGTCACATACTTAAGGGAGAAATCCAAGTTTCAGTACTAGGATGTAGTTTGGGGGACACAATACCAGAACAACATAATCATTTTTACTTAATACCCCTAAAGATAATAAGGATCATTGCAATATCAAATGAATTTTCAGAATTTATAAAGATGCTTCTTTGAGTTATGAATCTTCAGAAATAAGAACGTACTGCACCCTTGGGAATACATGGTTTATTATCATTATTTTTAACATAGCTCAGAGGCAATGGGAGAATAGGTCTAGACCTGCATCGTCATTGCTACTTACGAAAAGGATTACTGACAATGCAAATTAACCCCCAACATCTGAAAAAATAGTGTTCCCTAGTCTTGTAGCCAAGGGTAAGTTGATAAAAGCATAAGACAGCCTCAGGCAGAAGCAGTTAAAACTAGAAGTCAGAGCAAGTAACTCCAGCGAAGGATTCATCACTCAATCCACTGAGAGCTGCATTGTGAAGTTAGCTGCTTTGAAGATAATAGAATGAAAGCCACAGTTTAGTTTCAGGTTTGAAAATACATCTTTCATACTAGGGGCACCTTGGCACATCAAACATGGTAATTAAATCCAGTCTATAATTAAATATATAAGTGAAACATGTAAAACTTAATGGTCAATGTGTGATAAAAAATCAATTAAATGTCCATGTAAATGAAATTTTCTCATGGTCCTGGTATGCTCTAATCCAGGAAAATATGAAAAAGGAAATGAACAATAAAAAGAAAGAAACAGGAGAAGGAACAGAAAAAAGAAAGAGAAAGGAGATATAGAGGAGGAGGAGGATGGAAAAGGGAGGGAAAGGTAGGGAGGAGAAAAGTAGATTTCTGTTTCTCTGCTCACTTGAATTCAGGAACAGGTTATGACTAAATGAATCTTTCATTCCCCGATTATTGAGTATAAAATCATAACATTACAACTACTTAATTTAAATACAGAAAAAAATGGAATCAAACGTTAATTTAATTGCTTTTGCTTTCTATTTCTCATGGATGTGAAAAAGTCCTTTTCATTTAGCTTCTTCTATATTAAGAAAAAGTTAAAAAAAAAAAAAAGGGTTCTGAGATTTCAAAGCTAAATCCTTCAAGGCTGGCAGCACACATAGCAGGGATAAAAACTGAATTTGAAATCATTACAATCAGAACCTTAGCTTAACTCAGCTGCCAGTGTGACAGGATCCAAGTTAGTGCATGGGATGAACTCAGACAACTGGATGGTAGTACGAGATATTAAGAAGGTGCCAGGGTTAATGTTTGAAAGGATGCTGTTCTGTACATTATCTCTGGGACATAGAAAGAGGTATCCCACAAGTGAAATCTGAGAATTAGGATTCTCAGTGCCAAATAGCAGCTATATGTCGTTATAATGAAGAATAGCAGAGAACAAGGTAATAGGTGCTTGAAGCTCATTTTTTTAATTGTCTTTAAGTAGTTGTACAAAGGAGTTGCAATTGAATAGTTTATTGGTGCAATCCATTTTGATCAATGGCATCCCTTCCATATTTCTTCCCATCTATTCCAACCCCATCCATCTCCTCAAATTATTTGACTCTGTTTCTTACATATGTAAATTGAGTATTATGACTGTATTTGTCCACCTTTCCTCTCTCAACTTGTCTGGCTCTACACCTTAATCACCACTCCCTAACTGAGATAATCAATTAAAAGGATCATTATTTGGTTCCATTTTCCAGCTTTAACTGTCCCCATACCACATTCGTTTCTAATAAATTTCTGAGTTAATTAGGAAAATATTCATTTGGCTTATATTTCCACCGAAATAAACAAGGAAAATTAAGTTAGATACCCTACAGTCTACACCCCAGTCCATTAAAAAAAATCAAGTGTGTTTTCATTAATACAATGCATTTGTGACTGAGACAAACACATTAATTTAAATAAACTATGAATGCTTATAGGGATATCCCAATAGGTTTCTCTGCATACATTCTATTTAACTGTCTATATAGTATTTAGTAGGCAGTTATTATGTTTCTGTTGTTCTGTAGGGCTGACCGCAAAGCAGAGACTCATGCTTGGCACCATAAAGCCAACTTCAGTTATCTTTCTAAAAAATGAACCATTGATATGATTATTGACTAAGGGATTCTATACTGGCTATATCAAATGATCACAGAATAGCTTTGTGAATAGATCTAAGATGTCTGGAGTGGATTTTTGATTCTCCACTTTTGGAAGTCATTGCATTCACACTTTCTCATCAGTCAGTATTTAATAGATTAAAAATACTTTTGCAAAACAAAACAAAAAATAATGATTTCCAAAATGTCTTTGGCATAGATGTGTGTCTGTGTGTCAAAATAAGAGCATGAAGTTGATAGAAAGAAGTGGTTGAAGTTAATCTATAATTTCTTGTTTATAAAAGTATTATAAAAATGTATTTACCTCATTAAATTTACCTTCACTATTGAGAAACTGTGTAACTCCATGAAATTGATAGAAAGAAATGGTTGAAGTTAATCTGCAATTTCTTTTTTTATAAAAGTATTACAACTTTATTTACCTCTTTAAGTTCTCCTTCAGTATTGAGAAATTCTGTAACTCCACTGATAAGTTTAGAATTCATAAATAATGCTTCTCCATACCTCAAAAGATAAAAAATTAGTGTCAATACATTTAGTCATTTAGAAAAATTACTATAAGATTTTTTAGGGTCTCTCCCAAGAAGTTCATTTGAGCATAGCTGTGAGAGATTAGATCTCTGAACATTCTAGATTTATGTAGAGAGTAAAAGAAGAACAATGAAGTATGTGCATCCATGGTATATGAGCAGATTCCACCTGATTTAATCCATTGCATTCTGATGAAATTTAAATTGTAGCCAAATTTTCCAAAGGTGGGGATTCTAAAATTAGATTTAGGAATTACTGTTCTATATCTGGACCCTAGCTTGAGAAAAAAATATAAAACTTGCAATTTTCAAACTCTAAAACATCTAAAAGAGGAGTGAATACAAAGTTAACATATGTATGTCACAGATTCTGTGGTTTATTTATCTATGTTAATAGACATTGGTATTTTATTTCATTCTTAGTAACTGAATTAAATTTCTCAGAAAATATTCCCCAATATATTAGAATATTTTTCATGTGGGTACTAAAATTAAACATAGTTTGTTTATTTGTATTTCATAAGTCTCATATATTACATCATAATTTACACAAGTTATGACATAAGGGAAAGAAAGTAAATCAGAAAGAGTTCTCATTTTATCTCTGTATCGGCTGTGCTAAAGGAAATCCTGACAAGTTATCATACTCTTAGAACCAAGAGAAGTACAATAAGAATATATTTTGAGGATGTCCAGTCATCATTACAAGAGGTTATCCAATGCTCTCCTGATTTATAGGAACTGTAGTAATTTAGATTCTAGAGAGCTTAGTTTTGTAAGTTCCATAAATTCTGAGGTCAAACTAAATGACTGACATGGTTTATTGTCACTCTATGATTGAACTATTATACTGAAAAAAGCTGACTTAATAAAAGCAAACACAGAGGCATTCAATAACAATTTAAATGACCTTTTGGTAATCAGTCTGTTTTTAGAGAAGTACACGATTATCCAGGAAAGAAAATAACTCTTTCAATATAGGAGGGTCAATTGTTTTTGCTTATACTGTCATGGTTTTATTTGAGTGTTTTTATAACATTTATACTTAACAAGACTTCACAGCACTTGTACAGAAGTAATTAAATTTTCTTGCTATATCATTTATATGTGATTAATAAATCATTTCTCCATGACAGGTATAGGACATAGGAATTTAATAATAATCAAATGGCTTTAGCTTTTGGGCAGTTTGATAAATCCACCCCCAAAGTTGCTTCTAAACCTTTTGCACTCTCCATACTTCTAGGTATAATTAATTATACTCATCAATCTTTTGCAAATGAGTCAGGTTATAGAACTGTGAAAATAATTATGACTTTCAAAGACTGGCACCACCGCCATTGGATGACTGTGCTAAAATGTAGTTCTGATATTTGGATCTTAGCTCTGACAACGTGGGTCTCCTTCGTACATCAGCTCTTATTTACTCACTGGAGTAGGAATGACTGTTTTTCTATTTCTACCTGGTATTAAGTATCTTCCATTTATCTCTGAAGAACTTCCAGGCGAGGTCTCGACCATGTGGATTTCGGGCTACATGGATTATGACATCAATGGCATCCTGATCCAATACCACTTCAGAATTCAGCGAGAGATTGAGAAGCCTATAATAAATGAATTTGGGGAGAATGTTTCTTTTTATACCTTAAATATGTTTATAACCTTACTAAAATTACACCTCATTGTTATAATTATCAAGAGTTCAATTTAAAAAGTCTCTGATACACATTAATTACTAGAACAATTTCTGCTCATAAAATGGGAACACACAACTCATAGTGCTGAAATACAGACTTTAAACTCTAAATGTATCGATGATGGGTAAATTGCAAATCTGATTAATAACAGCAACCGTCCCTTAAATTCTTCACAGTGTTTTCTGTTGCTGTTTGTTTGTTTGGTTGTTTTTGGTCTTGGGGCTTGAACTCAAGGTTCAGTAACTGTCCTTGAACTTTCTCTTTCAAGGCTACTGCTTTATCACTTGTGCCACAGTGCCACTTCCTGTTTTCTGGTGATTAGTAGGAAATAAGAGTCTCATGTCCTCTCCTGCCTGGGCTGGCTTCTACCAGCAATCCTCAGATCTCAGCCTTCTGAGTAGTTAGGATTATAGGCTTGAGCCATGGGTACCCAGCCACAGTGGTTCTTTTTTATCATGAGATATTTTCATAGTCATGTATATTAACTTTATAAAGTCACTAATGGTAAAGATAATCTCTGAAGTCAAAAGGCATCCATCAGGCCAGCTTGCCATTTTTAGTGAAATATTTCCTCATATAGTTTACAGTGCTTACTCTATATTCAAGGGAATAAAAGCAACTTCAGAGCAGATTGATGAGCAGGGAACACCTGCATTACAAAAAATATACCACAAATTAATGAACTCACCTATTCAATAAATTCCTGTCGTCACTGCAGGTTAAGGCCTCAAGCAAGATCTTCTTTTCAGAAACCGTGGTGGTGGAGTGAAACTTCATCCATATGAACTCCCAAACGTCCTCATCCAGCAACGACACACCCGTACAGTAGACAATGTCTCTGACATTTAGTGGGATTCTAAAGAAGCAACATATGGGGTTTTCTGTTTATTTAAAGCCTCTGAGCAGTGGAAATGAAGACACATACTGCTTTGCTAACATCGGGTCTTTCAAACAATGATTTGTTCATTAAATTTTACCTGTAAGGGAGGTATAATACTATATTGTAATAATATTCAAATGTATTAACAACTGGATGAATAAAAGTCTTTTATTCAAAAGAAGTTTGGAAAACAATTTTTCCACCCTTTGAAGCACATTTAAACAAAACTAATGACAAAACCTTCAAAGAGAGAATAAAAGACTGGTGCATTGTGTTTTCAATAACATCACTAGATGTATTATCTACAGTTTTTCTATGATAATTGGTAGATTCAAGAATGACATATAAGAGAAACAGTTGGATGAGGACTAATACTTTGCATAAAACAAAGTCCCTTTCTTTAAAGTTTTAAACAATTTTTTGGAAGTATATGGTCTTAACTCAAGATTTCATGTTTGCTAGATTGAACTCTACCACTTGAGTTACATACATTCTTTTTTGGTTTAGTTGTTTTTTTTTGCACGGAATAATTATAATATTTTTATTCCCCTATTTACACTTTTGCACAGCAGGGATTAGTGGCTGATTCATCTCAGCTTGTTTGCTGAGACTGGGTCTTTTTTTCTGCTCCTGGGATAACCTCCAACTATGATTCTCTTAATCTCTGCCTCCTCAAGTAACTGGGCTATAGGCATTAGCTACTTTGAAACAGTCCTGTAAAAACTTTTTCTCTCATACAACTCTTCAAATGTTGGAAACCAAAATGTTATAAAAATAGATACTAAGTAGAAAATAAAATAAAAGTAGCAAATTATAATTTTCCCTGGGTTTATAAAAATGCCTGTTAAAATGCATTAAAATTGACTAAGCAATTGATAAATTATAAATTTTCACTATGAATTCACCATAGTCAATTTTACCATAGTATCTTTTGCTAAATATTATTCCTTTGACCTCTACTATACACACCAGATTTACTGATTTTTAGGATATTTCTTGTATAAACATTGAACATAAAATGTGACTTAAATGCATTTCTGCCGTTTTGTGATATTAAGTAATCTATTATAAATTTTCTCATTTACAATGTTAATGTTGCTGATTACATTATCTTCTTCAGCAAACGGGAAGAAATAATGCTTCCTAATTACTTAAACCTTTATGGTTAACTCTGCTTAAAGGACTATCTGGAAAACAAGTACAGGACTACAAGCAGGATATTGTACATACATGTAGAATAATAAGAGCTGTCATACAAAATTTAGGGCTCCACAAAATGGCTATACCTATATTCTTTGGGGGTCTTATTTTTCTCTGGAAAAAACTATTTTCATAATGGTTATTTTGCTAATGGAGACTCTGTTTTTATGGTATTAGAAGAGTGGGATTTTGTTTATTTTCTTTGGTTTGTCTTGAAAGAAACAAAAAGAGTACAGATAGAGAATAATCCATCATAGGGTTCTTCTCCATTTCAATCAAACCCCACCCCTGCCCCATAACAGAACTTAACAAGAATTTGTCCCAATGGTTGTTGGAAAATTTTCCTTCCTTATGTTTATGGTCAACTTGTCACAGGCTATCCTTGAATTCACTAGGGGAAACATTGTCACTGCATTTTAAAGTAGTCATTCCTAGTAGACACAATATAAGATCATAGATTAACCACAGTAAGTAAGGTTTGATAGCCAATCTTTTTCTAAATCAACAGCTATAAACGAGGTTGACCTTCCCCCACCACCGCAAATATTATAAGATAAAGAGTACAATACTGTATGAATCAAAGGTTTTCCCTCTTCATAGGTAGATGGGATTTTTTTTATCTGCTTACTCCATACTTAGCAAAGGGATAATCTATAGGTCGAGTTCAAGTTATCTCTACTGTCTGACAGGCAGATAGACTGTACCAAGCCTCATAAAGATCTGGAGGAAACAAGATAAAAGTTATCCATCTAAGAAGATTCCTGTGAACGGTTGATCTGCTGTATTCATGAATCAACCTTTCCTCCCTAAGAGGCAATAACACTTAGGGAGTATTATTCTCATGATGTGATACTATAACATGGGTAGAAAGTCTAATGAATGTGCATTCCAAATCTTCAAGTGGCTTTTTTCTTTTCCATTTTTTATTGTAAAGGTGATATACAGAGGAATTAGAGTTACACAAGTCAGGTAATGAGTACATTTCTTTTTGAACAGCATCACCTCCTCCCTCATTTTCACCCAGTTTTTCCCCTCCAGACTCTCCTTCCCCACAAGTGGTAGAGTTCATTTTCAGCATAGTGTCTCATGAGAATCACTGCTGCATTCGTTATTTTACACTTGCCAATGGTATAGTAATACAAATGCTTCATGAATCAGATGCTATGACAAATTCTTGACAAATAGTGTATTTATAGAGAGAAAGTGGCTCTACAGTTTCTTGCTCTGCAAGCTTGATGACATCATTCCTATGTGAGTATATTCTTTAAGAGAGTACCATTACCATGCCTCAGAGCTCACTAATGAACTGACTACCAATGCCAATGCATCTAGCATATGCTTCTCTGAGATTTGAACTGGCCACAGATATAATTTCTTTTTTAAATAACCATTTAAGTAGGTCACCAGTGGCTCATGCCTGTAATCATAGCTACTCAGGAGGCTGAGATCTGAGACTGAATAGAAAAATCTGTGAAAATCTTATCTCCAATTAATCACAGAAAAGATTAAACTGATAGAGCACTGTCATTGCACAAAAAATGCTTAGGGACAGCATCCAAGCCCAGAGTTCAACTCTTGGAATAGCAGAAAATGAATAAATAAAATATCCAGCTAAGCCAGAATTTAGTAACATCTTTGAGAGATGTTTCGTGTTGATGGGAATGGATTTCCAATAAATATTCATTGTGCTCATCAACACTGAATTGATGCTTGCTCAAACACAACCTCTTTGTAACTGAAAAGACAAGGGTTAGCTGTATATGGAAAGAGCTTCTATATGTCAAGCTAGTCACACAGAACAGTAAGAAGATATCTTGAAAGGATATCCAGCAATAATGGTTCAGTGAAATGACAAACACCCTGAAGAAATCTAATAAATGTGTCCTGGACAAGTTCTTGTGGGCAAAGTTGCTTGGAATAGAAAAAGAATGTTCATCTGTCCTTACAGTTACAAATCGAGAGAATGCATGATTTGGGTGTGTTTTGCAAAAACTACAAGTCAGGTTTTAGTGTTGTCAGTAGTCACTCATTTGTTCATGACACTGGATTAATATAAAAATAAGTTATTCACACATATAAGCTGAACTTATTGTTGGTTCACTGAAAAGGAATCTTCATTTTCAAGCACAAATCCCACAAATCTTAGGGGAAAATGGCTCAATTAGCAGATACAGTGATATATAATTGCATAGGTTCATGTGGCTCCTTGGGGAACTCAGACAGAACTGATTAGCCCAAGAAGGCTGTGCTTTTTCTAGTATCTCTTCCCATCCCATCAATTCTTCATCTTCTTTACCCAACCACTAGATAAAGAATCAATGTACAGATCACGGGATCACTTTTACTCATCACTGAAAATAAAACAAGATTGGTAAGCACTGCATTTGCCAAGAGCCCTCAATTCCCAATGCCTTCCATTGTTAATGAAACTCCCCTTTTGCTGCTAAATTTGTAAAGATGTTCTAATAACATTTTAGTAAAAGGATTGCTCTGGGGACAGCTTAAGATCTCTGTGTATAAACCAAAGTCATTAGGAACAAATGAAAAAGCTCATTTGTTTGTAAAGCATGAGCTAAGAAACTCACAGAACCCATAGTTATGAATGGTAGGAATGACTCCTAGGAGACACTGGCTATCAGGAATACAGGGGGAGAGGGGCCCTTCCAAATGAACATGAAAATTTGTTTATGAAGATGTGACTATCCCCATGGTCATTTCTTCTTAACTACTGCATCAGAAGTAAATCTTTTAATGGAATTTTTTTTTAAACTGGGAAGGAAAGCTGTGCTTGTTTTTCTGTAGGTATGGTATTTATGCCTGGACAGAGAGCCAATCACTCCTACTGACTTTCAGAAGGAGAGGGGTAATGCTTAGGCAGAAAGAAGTGCCTTGATCTTTCTTAGGGTAGTGACATCGCAGAAAACATTACCTCTCGTACTTTGAGTTTTATTCCATCCCCATTTGAAGTAGGATGTGTAAGAGTTCCCTGGTATGGTAATAGCTTTCAAAACAGAAGTTCAGGATCCTCACTAAGAAATACTTGATTGTGGTAATTCAGTGATGTATTTAAACATTATTGTCTTGTGAGAAGCAAGAGGCTGAAAACAAAATGATCTGGAAGTGTATGTGTGAAAATGAATTAGGTAGAAAGATAAAGACATGCATCTTTTCAGGAATTCTTTTGTTTGTTTTTCCGTCTTAGTTGGGATTGCAGTTACAAAGTGCCACTGGCAAGCTTATGAATCATAGAAATTTCTTTCAGAGAATCCTGATGGTTGAAGTCTGTGACTGGGGAACCAGAAGGTCAGACTGTAATGAGGGCTCTCTTCAGGGCCAAAGAGCAATGACCTATCAGTTTTGTCTTTAAATGGCAGAAAGATGGTTTGTTTTATGTCACTTTTACAAATAAGATTATGAATGTGATTTCAGAGGGCTCCGCTCTCATGATACGTAATACCATCTACGTATGTAATACCAGCTACGTAAAACCATCAGATCAGGGAGAAGGATTTCAGCATATGAATTTTGAAAGGATAAATCTTCAATCCACAACCATGATAGAATGAGCTGCATCATAGTTAAGTTGACACTTCCACGAATGGATAAAACTAGTGAAGTAGGTTAATGAAGACAAATAAGAAACTTAAGGGTTAAGCAAATTTTACTATTATTTTTGGAAATAAGATATAGTATGATTTCATTTGCAAAATAAGATTGTTACATTTTGAATGAAATACCCAAGCATCTAAAATATTTATTATAAATGCAGACATGAT